GAGCATATAGCATTATATGTCGTCTATATGACTGCTGAAAAACATTCAAAGATCAGCTGAAAATCTATTGTGTATTCAAAAAATGAATACGAAACTACAGCTCTCTCTCGCCGCCTGCAGCAAGAGTTCTGTTTGGTGGTCTTGGTCCACTTCCCCCACCCTGGAGAGCCGATGGCAATGGGCAGATGAAGGGCGAAACAAGGGCCAAGGCTGGTTGGTGATCAGTTGCAGTTCATTCCAATCTTGTCTAGATTGTCCTGTTATTATCTGTCCTCCTTGATTCTACTCTTCCCGATTCTCCTTGATTCTCCAGCCCGCTCTTACAGCTTTAGTTATATCCCAAATCATGAGGGATTTGGGTAGCAATTACACATAGGTGTGGTCATACATAATCAACAGATTGTATTGACTTGTAATGTATTGTCCTTCCTTCAGGGGAATCTTTTTCTAGGAGAAATTCTCATTTACCAAGATGACCCGCCGAAGGGTGAAGTACCAAGGTTATGTTTCTCCTTTCCTCAGTCCAACAACCATTTAAACATTCATCTTAATTCTACTTCTTAAAAATATTCGTCATTTTGGGCTGGAGAGATAGCTAGATTCGATTCCCAGCGTCCCATATGGTTCCCTGAGCACCGCCAGGAGTAACTCCTGAGTGCAGAGCCAGGAGTAACCCCTGTGCATCGCCGGGTGTGACCCAAAAAGCAAAAAAAAAAAAAAAAAATTGTCATTTTCTGCTCCCAAGCTACAGTGTTTATTAAGATTATTTTTTGATTTATGTAAATGTTTGTAAATTGATCAATGCTTGTAAATTTAAATGTTAAAAGTAACCTTGAAGACAGTTTAATTTTTTCAAAAGGACTATGTAAAAATTCTTTTAAACCTGCTGTATCACAGTTTGTACCTCTAATGTATACGGTTCTTATGCAGACCAATTCAAGTGGCTAAGACTTTCACTTTTCTTTGACTTGTAAAAGGTGCATATTTTCATTTTCTTCTTTAAGTTTTAATTTTTGTATGATATCAAATGGAATAAAGTTTATATATGGAAAAATATTAGTCATTTTGTATGGACACAGTAAGAGATACACTAAGCTTATAGGGTGGCTTTCCTGGAGACATCTCACTATAGATCTCAGACTACAGTGCTCAGGCCAGATTAGTCTTTCCTAACCTTAGTAGGGTCCTAATTCAGTTGTTACTCTTTGGATCATGACAGAATTTGCCCATGACTGTGCTCTTAACTTATAGTTAATTATAATGGTGCTAGGCTTGGCCCATTTTGATGCCAGGGTAGCTCACAGCTTGCCCTGTGTCCATCCAGTCTCTTGTCAGGACCCTGCTTTGGGGGTGCTAGGAACTAAGGGCAATTGAGGTTTAAGTTGAGAAAAAGTGATACCCAGGAGTGAATATTATTCGGAGTCAATTAACTCCCAAGTTACAAAAGCATAGCATTAACTGTCTTCCAGTGTCTATACAAAATGGACATTGCTCTGATATAACTATGCAAAGGACACAAGGAAAAGAGAAAAGCAATATTACACTAACAAATACAAATCCAGTGTCTTAGAAGGATCTGACCTTACAAGTCAATAGAGTTTGATTTGGGGAGAAAGGTGATTGATTGGTTTGGAAAGCAGAGAACAGAGAAGAAGTTACAGATAAACAGAGGAATGGAAGTGCCTCAGGAGCACTGTGATGGGTGAAACCCAATAAACCTAAGCTCCCTGTGGCAAGGGAGAAAGGACATACCAATGTTAAACCTAAAATGTTACAATAAACACAGAGGAATGGGAGTGTGTAGGGAGCATTGTAATGGGTGTAACCCAATAAACCGAAGCTCCCTGCAGCCAGGAAGAAAGAATAAACCAATGTTGAGAGTAAAGTGTTTAGAGCTATATTCCAACAATCTATTAAAATTTATAATATGGTCTTATAATATTGTAGAATATGAGATAAATACAAAAAATCAATAGTTTTTGTAACTTATCACTTATTAAAAACCTTAATATTTGAGAATAAATAATTTTAAGTGGGTAGGGCGTTTGCCTTACAAGCGGCTGACCCGGCCGACCTGAGTTCGATTCCTCCACCCCTCTCGGAGAGCCCGGCAAGCTACCGAGAGTATCTCGCCCGCACAGTAAAGCCTGGCAAGCTCCCCGTGACGTATTCGATATGCTAAACACAGTAACAACAAGTCTTACAATAGAGACGTTACTGGGTCACTTGAGCAAATCGATGAATAATGGGAGGACAGTGCTACAAATAATTTTAAAAGTGCATATCCTTATGAACCAATGTATTCATATTCTAAAATATGAATGATATAAAGATAAGAATGGGCTCTGAATGGTAGAATTCACAACTACAAAATTTCTAAAAAGAAGAGAACTAGGAGAAAACTTTCTTTATCAAAGAGCAAATAAATTACAAAGCTATGTTATTTATAACAGTGTGGAATGAATACAGAACAGTACAGAAATGAACAGATAATGACGAAAATGTTCAGAAACTGATATATGTATTCACTCATTAACAATAATATGCAAATATACAAATTTATCTGATTAACAGTAGCACTTCAAAGTAACAGAAAATAAAGAATTATTAAATAATATTTGGGCAAGTGGCAAAAATGTAGGGAAATAAAAGGTGACAATCCTTATCTGAATCCATGTATAATAATAAACTAGACACCAATTTACACACAACTTATGAGTACAAAAACTTGAAGTTTCTTACTGAACTAATTTATAGGAACTCATTTAGAGAAAACAAACAAATATGCAGAAAAGTCTGCATGCTAATGCTGATGGCTACACTTTCTTGAGTAACAAAAAAAGAAAACCACTTACATATCTATCACAATAATTTATTTAAAATAGGTAGGGCTGAAGAGAGGGGACAGGGGTACATGCTTGCCTTGCATGCAAAAGCTCCTGGTTCAGCCCTGTGCATTGCACATTCCCCTGTAGGAGGCCCCTCCAGTGGTGGCCCAAGCCCTTTTCCCCAAAGGTCTATGTGTGCAACATACATGTAGAGTAAGGAGTGCCGCTAGCCTACTTTTAAATCATCAACAAGCTTGATAAGCATTGCAGTGAAGAATTTCCATCAATATCCTATTAGGTTGGAAAAATCAGATTCCATACCTCTATTTTTTTTGATTAAAGAAAAAATTTAACTTGTGGAGGCACAGAAAAGTCCAGAAGGACATTAACCATTTTCTCTTTTATTCCCGATGAATTGATTGTACTTCTTTGACCAAGATTTTCTTTCTTTTAGATCTCATTATCCATTAGGATTATGGCCTTGAGGTCTTAGATTTAACTTCTCAAAAAAAAAGTAGGCACAGACCCTCACATAGTGAGCATATATTTACAGAGAACTCTGAACTTACCTTATACATGCCTTTTAAAAAAAGTTATTAGTGAAACACCATGAGGTACAGTTGTAGACTTACAAATTTTTGTGCTTGGGTTTCAATTGTACAATGATCAAGTACCCATCCCTCCACCAGTGCCCATTCTCCACCACCACGGAACCCAGTATCCCCCCCACCTCCCATCCCCCCATTCCACCCTGCCTCTGTGGCAGGGCATTCCCTTTTGTTCTCTCTCTCCTTTGGGGTGCTGTGGTTTGCAAAAGAGGTATTGAGTGGCAATCATGTTTGGTCTATGGTCTACTTTCAGCATGCTCTTCCCTTCCTGGGAGGATCCTGCCAACACCCTTTATTTGGTGCTCCCTTCTGTATCTGAGCTGCCTTTCCCCCTAGCATGTATGGCTGGCCTCCAAGCCATGGAGTAAACCTCCTGGTACTTATCTCAGTTATTCTTGGGCATTAGTCTCCTGTTTTGTTACTTTATGTTAATTCAAATTATTCATTCTTTTTTTTTGCTTCCCCATCCTGACTCTAAGTTTCATGGAGGGTGGAAGGCAGGGACTGCAAGTGATTCACCTGAATCCAGTGCAGTGGTTGGGGATTTAAAAAAAAAAAAGTCACTTTAGAAAAAAAATGTTTTTATTAAATCATCATTGAGATACAGTTACAAAGCTTTCCTGATTGAGTTTCAGTCATACAATGATCAAACACCCATCCCTCCACCAGTATGCATTTTTCACCACCAATGTCCCCAGTATCCCGCCCCCCTGCCTCTCTCCACTTTGGGGCATTATGGTTTGCTACACAGATACTGAGAGGCCATCACATTTGGTCCTTAATCTACTTTCAGCACACATCTCCCATCCCGAAGGATCTCTCCAACCATCATTGACTTAGTGGTCGCTTCTCTATTCCAGCTGCCTTCTCCCCCGGCTCATGAGGCAGGCTTCCAAACCTTGGAGTGATTCCCCCTGGTCCTTGTGTCTACTGTCCTTGGGTGTCAGTCTCATATCATGTTATTTCGGATTCCACAAATGGGCGCAGTCCTTCTATGTCTAGCCCTCTCTTTCTGGCTCATTTCACTTAGCATGATCACTCCCCACGTCCATCCGCTTATCACCAAATTTCATGAAAAAGTCACTTCTTGAGCTCTTCTTATTGCAGGACACATAAGGCACCGGGTGCTTTCTCTGCTCTCATCACTTCCTTAGGAAGATGCTATTATCACTTCCCTTCTGAGAGCCAGTGAAACCTGTCCCTATATTCTGGGATCGACTCCCAGAGGCGGCCCTTGGAGCTTCCAGACACGAAACCGGTCCCCAATGTCCCTACTCTGAGATCGACTCCCGGAGGCGGCCCTTGGAGCTTCCAGGCATGGCCCTGACCGGTGGCAGAACTGGACGAGCGGGGCCCCAGCCCGAGCCACAGACAGTTAGCGGGGCTCCAAGCCCTTTAAACTCCTCGACCTGCCGGCGACAGGCTCCCCCGCGGCTGCGATTGGCCGGCGGGGCCCGGAAGGGGGCGTCGGGGGGGCGGGGCGGACTTCCGGGCGGGCGGGGCGGGCGCTGGTTGGCTGGCGGCGGGCGGAAGTTGGAGGGTCGTGTGGTCGGTGGTCGGGATCGCTGGCTTGCGACTGGGAGGGGGCCGCGGCCGGCCTGCACTGAGGTGGCCCGCCCGGCTCCGGCGCTCAGAACCTTCGGGAACAGCCCCCCGCCAGGCCGGCCCCTTCCCTCAGGCTCTCTCCGCCCGATTTCGCCACCGTTATGTGGGAAGCGAATCCGGTGAGTGGCCGGGCGGGGCGGGGCGGGCCGAGGGGCGGGGTCGGGCCGGGCGGAGGGTCCGGCCGCCGCCCCCGACCCCCGACCCCCGCCCGCGCCCCCGCCGCGGCTCCTCCGGCCTCGGGGCTGTTGTTACGGCCGGCGCGGCCCCTCAGCGCGCCGCCGCCGCCCCCGCTCGGACTGCCCGGCGGCCCACGGCGGCCCGGGACGGCCCGGCTGGGCCCGGTGTCTGTGTGTGTGTGTGTGTGTGTGTGTGTGTGTGTGTGTGTGTGTGTGAGTCTGTGTCTGTGTGTGTCTGTCAGTGTGTCTGTGTGTATGTTTGAGTCTGTCTGTGTGTCTGTGTGTCTCTGTCAGTGTGTCTGTGTGTCTCTGTGCCTTCAGTGTGTCTGTGTGTGTGTTTGTGTGAGTCTGTGTGTCTCTGTGTCTGTGTGTGTCTCTGTGTGTGTTTGTGTGAGTCTGTGTCTGTGTGTGTCTGTTAGTGTGTCTGTGTGTATGTCTGTGTGTGTGTCTGTGTGTGTGTTTGAGTCTGTCTGTGTGTCTGTGTGTCTGTGTGTTTGTGTGAGTCTGTGTCTGTGTGTCTGTGTCTCTCTGTGTGTGTCTCTGTGTCTCTGTCTCTGTGTGTTTGTGTGAGTCTGTCTCTGTGTGTGTGTTTCTGTGTCTCTGGTGTCTGTGTGTGTCTCTGTGTGTTTGTGTGAGTCTGTGTCTGTGTGTGTCTGTCAGTGTGTTTGTGTGTCTCTGTGTGTGTCTCTGTGTGTCTTTAGTGTGTCTGTGTGCCTGTGTGTGTTTGTGTGAGTCTGTGTCTGTGTGTCTCTGTCTCTCTGTGTGTGTCTCTGTGTGTGTCTCTGTGTCTCTGGTGTCTGTGCGTCTCTGTGTGTCTCTGTGTGTTTGTGTGAGTCTGTCTGTGTGTCTCTGTCTCTGTGTGTGTGTCTCTGTGTCTCTGGTGTCTGTGTGTGTCTCTGTGTGTTTGTGTGAGTCTGTGTCTGTGTGTGTCTGTCAGTGTGTTTGTGTGTCTCTGTGTGTGTCTCTGTGTGTCTTTAGTGTGTCTGTGTGCCTGTGTGTGTTTGTGTGAGTCTGTGTCTTTGGTGTGCCTGTGTGTGTCTCTGTGTGTGTGTTTGTGTGAGTCTGTGTCTGTGTGTGTCTGTCAGTGTGTCTGTGTGTCTCTGTGTCTTCAGTGTGTCTGTGTGTGTGTTTGAGTCTATCTGTGTGTCTGTGTGTTTGTGTGAGTCTGTGTCTGTGTGTCTCTGTCTCTGTGTTTGTGTCTCTGTGTCTCTGGTGTCTGTGTGTGTCTCTGTGTGTTTGTGTGAGTCTGTGTCTGTGTGTCTCTGTGTCTGTGTGTGTCTCTGTGTGTGTCTGTGTGTGTGTTTGTGTGAGTCTTGTCTGTGTGTGTCTGTCAGTGTGTCTGTGTGTCTTCAGTGTGTCTGTGTGTGTGTCTGTGTGTGTCTGTGTGTGTGTTTGAGTCTGTCTGTGTGTCTGTGTGTTTGTGTGAGTCTGTGTCTGTGTGTCTCTGTCTCTCTGTGTGTCTCTGTGTCTCTGGTGTCTGTGTGTGTCTCTGTGTGTGTGTCTCTGTGCGTTTGTGTGAGTCTGTGTCTGTGTGTGTGTCTGTCAGTGTGTTTGTGTGTCTCTGTGTGTGTCTCTGTGTATCTTTAGTGTGTCTGTGTGTGTGTTTGTGTGAGTCTGTGTGTCTTTGGTGTGCCTGTGTGTGAGTCTGTGTCTGTGTGTCTCTGTGTGTGTTTGTGTGAGTCTGTGTCTGTGTGTCTCTGTCTCTGTGTGTCTCTGTGTCTCTGGTGTCTGTGTGTCTTTGTGTGTTTGTGTGAGTCTGTGTTTGTGTGTGTCAGTGTGTTTGTGTGTCTCTGTGTGTGTCTCTGTGTGTCTGTGTGTGTCTGTGTGTCTGTGTGTGTGTCTGTGTGTCTCTGTGTGTCTGTGTGTCTGTGTGTGAGTCTGTCTTTGGTGTGCCTGTGTGTCTTTCTGTGTGTGTCTGTGTCTCTGTGTGTGTGCTTGTATGAGTCTGTGTCTGTGTGTCTCTGTGTGTCTCTGTGTGTGTCTGTGTGTCTCTGTGTGTCTTTGGTGTGTCTGTGTGTGTCTCTGTGTGTGTGAGTCTGTGTGCGTCTGTCTCTGTGTGTATGTATCTGTGTGTCTTTGTGTATCTGTCTGTGTGTCTGTGTATGTGTGTCTCTATGTGTGGGGAGGGTGGGATGTGTGTATGTCTGTGTGTATCTCTGTGTGTGTCTATGTCTGTGCGTGTATGGGTGTCTGTGTGTGTCTGTCTCTGTCCGTGTCTGTGTGTGTTGGGGAGGAGAACCATCCCCATTCCTACCCCTCCACTTGGTCCCGCGTGTGTGTGTGTGTGTGTATCTGTTCATGTATAGGGGGAACCACCCCATTTCCTACACCCCCCCCCTTGACCCCAGGACTGTGTGTTTTGTGTGTGTCTGTCTCTATGCGGGGAACCACCCCCTTTCCTTCGCCCCTTGGTGGGGGGGGGGGGGAGAGAGAGGAAAGAGCGAGGGAGAGGGAATGTGTCTGTCTGTGTCCGTGTGGTGTGGAGGGGGCGGGGAACACCCCCTTTCCTTGCCCCTCTGGTCCTCAGCCCCCTGGAAGGGCGGGAGGGTCTGTTCTAAGCTCCCTGTGAAGTTCTTAGCACCGCCCCGCCCCCATCCCCGCCCCCTCCTCTCCCCTCCCCCCCACAGGCTGGCCCCCTGCAAGCGAGGTCGCCCTTGGTGGCGTTCTGTCGCCCACTCTCTTCTGCCACGCCTGCAGACCTCTCCCCTCTCTCGGGGAGTCCGCGGCCCCGCCCCCAGCGGGCTCTCTCACCCCGTGGAGCTCCACCGGTTGGGGCTGAGCTGCACCTCGGGGCCCCATGGCAACGTGGACACTGGGTTGCCAGGCCCCGAGTCGCCTGGGGACGAAGGCAGCAGCGTGGCCTAGGACGGTGTTGGGCCGTGTGGAGCTCCCTCCGTGCGCTGGCATAACTGCGCACACTTACTGACACCACCCGGGGTTCACACTTTTTCATTCCTTTGCGATAATTGATACCCATCCCCTGCCCCCCCTCTCCGACCCTGGAATTTAGTTCCAGAAATGTCAGACAGCTTTTCACTCAAACCGTGTATTCTTTTACGTACTTATTTGCCCCGCGGAAACTAGGCTGTTGACCTGATTTGTTGGTTGTCCTTTGACATCCAACCTCAGTCCATCATGTAACAGTGGTCAAGTAATACGATTTTTCTTTTTCTTTTGTTGGGTTTTGGGGTCACACCAGGCTGTGCTCAGGACTTTTTCCTGGCTTTGTATTCAGGGGTTACTCCTCGTGGTGGTGGTGGTGGGACCAAATGCTCTGCTAAGGATCCAGGGAGGGTCTGCTGCATGTGGGGCAAGTGCCATATCCCAGTACTTGCTCTCCAGCACTAGTACAATTTTAAAAGATAAAGTCCTGTCATTTTTTTTTTTTTAGTATTAGGCCATATCAGAGGAAATCAGTTTGCTTTCATAAAATAAATAATTTAGAATTATGAAAATGTGCTCTCATGTAGTTTCACATATAGTTTCACATATTCTGTCAACAGTCTTTTATCAATGTATTCAGTTTTATTAAATTATAAATTTGATTATAATTTGTAGCACTGTCCTCCCATTGTTCATTGATTTGCTCAAGTGGGCCCAGTAACGGCTCCATTGTGAGACTTCTTGTTTACTGTCTTTGGCATATAGAATAAAGGTAAAGGTAAAGGCCCTCCCGTTGATCGTCAATTTGCTCGAGCGGGCCCAGTAACGTCTTCATTGGAGACTTTGTTGTTACTGTGTCTGGCATATCGAATACTCTCGGTAGCTTGCCGGGCTCTCCGAGAGGGGCAGAGGAATCGAACTCGGGTCGGCCATGTTGGCCGCGTGTAAGGCAAACACCCTACCCGCTGTGCTATCGCTCCAGCCTGAATGCATATAGAATATGTCATGGGTATTTTGCCAGGCTTTGCAGTGTGGGTGAAATACTCTCAATACTTGCCGGGCTCTCCCAGAGGGGCGGAGACATCGAACCTGGCTTGTCGGGGCAGGCAGCTTGCAAGGCAAATGCCTTACCGCTGTGCTATTGCTCCATTTTAATTATAAATTAAATTTATAAAATATTGAATTATATTCTATTTCTGCCTGGCAAGCCCTTCAGCCACTCTCAGGCAGAAAAAAAGACAAAGTCTTGGTGCCAGTCAGAAATCTTGTTCTGAAGTCATGTGTGTGTTCTAGATCCATACTTGCTTTTTCACTATCCTCAGACTAGAGAACATAGCCTGACACATAGTGGGCACTCAGTAATCATGTATTAAATTAGCAACAGTGATTGTATCAATAAAGAAACCATTCATTCTTCCTCCTCCATTACTTAGAATTTGCAACCCAAGCACCTGTATATTGGTGAGGATTTTAAGGGCATTACTGAGTGCCTGATATTTGGTTGGTGACATCATTGTCCTAATTTTTTCTTTTTGTAAGTAACTTTCAGTTTTCTCTAAATCCACCCTGGTAATTTTGTCTGATTTCAGTAGAGCCAACCAACTTAATAATACATAGGGGAACACAAAAATAATAGTGACAGGGATTCCACCTCTAAGTCTATATTCTTCTGATCCTGCATTCTCCACCCTAAAATACTAGAGCTGCAGTATTTTCTTATTGATAGCGCGTTTCTTCCTATGAACATGAATGCTATCTATAGACCTATTTGGTCTTTAAAAATTGCATCAGTGTTGTGTGTGAGAGTTTCTCTAGTTATCTATCAGTTTAATAGAAGAGACAACTGGATAGTCTCTACAGCTGAGCTTATGGAACGGAAGTTAAGTTTAATGTGTTACACTATGGCAAATACCATTGAGAAGACTTTTTAGAACTATACACAGTGCATCCTGAAGATAAATGCATATAATATTTGTATTGACCACCTTTAAAAAAATCTCACTTTACCATTTATTTCCATTGGATGAGACAATAACTTCTTCTCAGTGAAGGATGGCCAT